AAATAGTATTAAGAAAACTATCCACATTAAAAAAAAAAAAGAAAGAAAGAAAAGAAATCAGGGCCTTAGCTAATATTAAACAACAACACAAAAAATAATTTAAAATAAATTAAATACAAATACATTAGAAGAAAACACGTTAGTTTGTTGGTTGGCTGTATGGCAGTACTGCTCTGAGAGACTGTGAAACACTAGAAAATGGGGCTTCACTGGAGGATGTAGGTTGCTATGAGGGTGAACCGTCAGGCTTAGAGGTCTTTCCTACATGTGACCATGCCACAAGTCACACTGCAAGCTTCCACCACTACAGAACACCACCTCCCATGTGCCCATGAAACCAGGAACTAATTTCATCTGTCAGATATTTTCTTCTAGAAGATACATATGTTAATTTGTTGAATCTATGCATTCTACAATGTCATCTATTTTAAATTATATTGTATATCATAGATATATAAAATTTTGTACTGTGTTGTGATAATTGAAAGTCTTTAACTTTTTCATGATGATGGTCATTCTGACTGAGGTGAGATGGAATCGCAATGGAATTTTACTATGAAGTTCCTTGATGGCTAAGGATGCTGGTTTTTTGTTTGTTTGTTTGGTTGGTTGGTTGTTTTTATTCATTGGATGTTTGTACTTCACCCTCTTTGTGAACTGTCTATTCATTTCATTTATTACTTAGGTTTTTTGACTTTAGAGTATTCAGGGTTTTTAGTTCTTTATATAGTCTAGGCATTGGACTTCTGTCAGACATGTAGCTGGCAAAGATTTCCTCTTGTTCTCTCTGTTGTTTTTTGCTAGATTATTCTCTCTCTCTCTCTCTCTCTCTCTCTCTCTCTCTCTCTCTCTTTCTCTCTCTCTCCCTCTCTCTCTTTTCTTTTCAGAAAGTCTCTCCCTATACCTGTATCTTGATACACTTCGCTGTTTTGCTCTAACAGACTCCGGGTTCCAGGTCTTACATAAAGTCCTTGGACACACTTGAATTGATTTTTGTGCAGTGTGAGAGATGCGGATCTAGTTCCGTTCCCCTACACGTGGACACCTAGTTTTCCTGGCACTGCTGTTGAAGAGGTCTCTTTTCTCCAATGTATATTTTTAGCATAGTTGTAACAAATAAAGTCTTTTATGTGTAACAGGCCCTAAGGACTCTGTCAGAAAACCCTTAGAACTGATAAACATGTACAGTAAAGTAGCAGGGTGCAAAATCAACATACAAGAATCAGTACCTTTCCTATATACTGAAAAATAATGTGCTGAGAAAGAAATCAGGAAATAACCTCATTTATAAGAATATACATGGGAATAAACCCAATGGAGGGAGTGAAAATCTCTACAATGAAAATTGTAAAACACCAAAAAAGAAATAGAAGATACTAGAAAACTGAAAGACTGCCCATAACTATGGATGCACAGAATTAATATTGAAAAAAAAATGGCTATACAATCAGATCCAATCTGTAGATCCAATGGAATCACCATCAAAATTTAAATGTTATTCTTCACATAAAGAGAAAAAAATTCTAAAACTCATATAGAAGCAAAAAAAGAAAGAAAGAAGGAAGGAAGGAAGGAAGGAAGGAAGGAAGGAAGGAAGGAAGGAAGGAAGGAAAGAGCCCAGATAGGCCAAAGTCATCCTGAGCAAAAGGAACAATGCTGAGAAAGAAAAAAAAAAAAATCACCCAGACTTCCAGTTATACTACAGAGCCACAGTGACAAAAAGACAAACCTATGCATAACTCAGTGGACGAGGTGACCCAGATTCACACCCAGATGGCTACCACCTCCCTCCCTGGATTTGGATATATATATATATATCTCCATAATGGCATGTGTCATGAATATTCAAATTCAGCAAAAGGTATCAAGTCTACTAATGGAAGACTGAGTCTTGGGATTGAGGTCAGGCAGGCCTGAACTCCACATGGCCATTATCTACTTACAGGCACTCATAATTTCTCTAAACCTTGATGCTTGCATCTGGGAGAACATGTGACTATTCCCTGCAAGAACATATAGGCATTTCTGAAGAAGCCTAAATAGGTCGTGAAATCTAAGACAACCTTAATTCTAAGGTACTCTATGTTGTAGGCATCAAAAATGGTGCAGTCATGCCAGGCAGGGTTTCGTGGTTTCAGATTCAACAACCACACTGTGACTGAGTGAATTTGAGTCTCCTGGGATGAAGCGTGGGGATTCTTTTAACTTCCCACACTACTGTGATGACCTGGACGGTCAGATGTCATGATATCTGGCAGACTGCTGGTCAATGTGCTGAACAACCTAACCTTTATTTTTGTTTTGCTTTGGTTTTTGAAGCGGGTGTTGCTGTCCAGCCTAGACCAGCATCGAATCCACTGTCTTCTTGCCTCTTTCCTGAGGGTAGGGATTATAGTGGTGCTCCACCACATCTCCCTCCACACTCTTAATTCCAAATTGCACTCTGCAGTCCTTTGATTCTCAGCTATTCAGGAGGAAGCCTGGCTTTCAGGCTTTGCCCCCCACCCTGCAAAAGAAAAATCCATTGGCAAAATTCTTTACATTTTCTGACACATTAGTAGAGTTCCAGAAACTTTCACTCAGATGCCTCAACATAAATACTTTGGTAGAAAATGTAAACCCCAGTATTCCAGAGCAGGAATGCTGTAGGACACATTTCCTTAGAAGCTGCCCTTCTGAGAGGGCTTCCTGACTGTAGTGTGAGGCTCTGAGCCCAGCCCTGTGGTCCCCATTTCTTTGCTTAGCACTGAAGAGCTCTTTGGTTCCTTGCGTACATTTTAAGCCATTCTTGTTAACCTTTTAAAGACACGAATTGAATCTTTCCAAACATGATTTTCCTTAATGTCCGTGTTAGGATTTTGAGTAGTAATGACGACACTGTCAACCACCGAAGAAGTGAATGGCACCGCTGTGAGGGCTCCTCTGGCCTGTCTCTGCACAGACAAACAGCCCGCCATCCGGGCATCTTTCCACACCCACACCATGCTCTGGGAGCTCGCACTCCAACTGACGCCACCCGAAGAACGCAGGTGACTTGTCTGAGGCCACAGAGCATGAGCCCAGTGCTCCAAACCCCAGAGCAGCGTGGGCATCCTTCCACACCCAGGTCTGATGAGCACACCTCAAGGAGTCTTAAAAAAAAAAGTCCAAACCAGCAGGAGCTGCGAGTCACACCCAGAGCCTTCACCACACACACCTCAGTGAGTGCCTCCACTCCAGCAGCTCCGACTGAGCCTTGGCTGACTCCTACAGAAGGCACATACCAGATCTGCTGCATATTGCCAGGACTTTAGCTCAGAATATCCTTCAAATGTCTCCCATTGATCACTGGCAGCCTTAAAAAAGCAAGGCAGGGAGCTATTCCCGGAGGTCTAATTGCTCTGTGTGACACTTTACGAGGGGCAGCTTATGGCTTCCCCTCCCAAGCCCTTCCCTCTGTGCCCAGATCCTGAATAAACGCCTTCCCTAGCGTGTATGCGGAATCCAGGGAGGGCGGGCTGGGCTGCAGGGAGAATTGTGGGGCTCCTTTCCCGGGCAAGGCCACTGCGCCCTGTGTACATCTTGCCAAGTTCTTTCTCCTTTGGTTTGAAAACCCTTGTGTATTCCAAAAGAAATGCAACCCATGTGTTTCTGATTCATTTACACTTAAATCATTAAAATATTGTTTTGTGAGAGTTATTTGATGTCTAAAGAGCCTGACAGTCTGCTTAATGGGAATTTTACAGACTTTTCTTTTTATCCTGCCTGAAACAGAGAACACTTCTCTCAGACAATGTCAGAGTCCAATCCTCCCTCCTCATCACACACACTTGCACCTGCACTATCAACCAGACACAGCCTGGTAATCATGCCAAGCACACAAGGCTAACACTCAGGAGCTACAAAATAGAGAAATTGGGGAGAAAATGGGCAAGAATTACAGTGAATGTCAAGTCATTGCCCCCCCCCCAATATATCAAAGGAGTGCTATCTAAGGGTGAAGAACGTGTGTTTGTCACCTTGATTCAAGTGGCAGGTAGCCTTCCGGATGACTGAAGGGCACCTTCAGTCTGCGATCATAATCTCGCTTGTGCCTTATTACAGCTTCCATCCAGCAAACACGGAGACCAGATGAGGAACAGTGGCCAGCCTAAAGTGCTCAGCCAGGGTGGACAGAAAACAGAGGTCACAGCTAAGTTCTGGATTTGTGTCTAAAGCTCCTTTCGAATGATTCAAAATTGAGTTTCTCTGTTAGTGGATGTGTGCATCACACAAAGGCCACATTCATATGATACATTACAGAGAGCTGGTATCACAGAAAGTGTAAGAGATTGGATTGCTCCTCCCCTTCAAGCTGTATAGCCAACTTTGTGGGTAGTGTCTTCATTGGAAAGTGGACATAACACCGCCAATGACCTGAACAGGACACATGCGTGCTTGAAGGAATGAGTTTGAAACGTGGTTGGCACAGTGCCACTCTGAGTACCAGCTGGCTTGAAGAAGCAATAGCCTCAGGAGTGATCATGGGTATCTGGAGGTCTTGGCCAGTCATAACCTTGCCAAGTCATCATTCCTTCACCTGTAAAAGATGTGTCACAGAGAACCCTCAGAAGTTTGTGAAAGTAATTTAGATGGCATTTGTGCCTAGCACAGAGATGCTGCTCAGTGAGTCCCACTTTTACACTCTCTTCGATGATGGCTGCCATTTTTGTGGAGGGGAATATTATTGTGGAGGGGGCTATAGTGTGCAGAGAAGTCAGAATGCAGAGGTTATAGTGTGGTGGGAGTTATAATGTAGGGGTTAATTGTGGAGAGGTTTATATGTGGAGAGCGTCCCCATCTGGTACTGGCTGTCTTTATGAAGAGAGCTAGCTCTTACCACTCAGCTCAGCTTAGATACACTGTACCATTTCTCCACAGATATGGGACACTGACATCTCACAGGCACCGATCTTTCAAGACTCAAAGGTCACTTGGCTCTGACTGTGCTGGAGCCCTTTCCCAAATGGGTAGATTAGACCTCTGCATGCTCAAAGTTGAACAGGACCACACGTCCACCTTTCAAGTGGGCGAGAGTAGGTAGCCAACTACAGAAACTGGTGCTCCCCTCACAGTCTGGGCCAGATGTCCACAGACAGTCTGAGGCATGGGATCTGCATTCTTTTTCATAATCTCCCAGAGCTGCCTTTTGAGTTGGTGGTTTCTGTTTAATTGTTCTTTTGCTGGGGTCCTGAAGAAGAACAAACTATTACAGCCATCAGGAGGCTGAAGAGAAATTGCCTCTCTCTCTGTCTCTCTCTCTGTCTCTCTCTGTCTCTGTCTCTCTCTCTCTCTGTCTCTCTCTCTCTCTGTCTCTCTCTCTCTCTGTCTCTCTCTCTCTCTCTCACACACACACACACACACACACACACACACACACACACACACCTCTGAGTCTCTCCGATTTTTTTTCTCGAGGGCTGCAGTCCCTCCCAAGGAGGGGACTGGCCAGCAGATCTTCCAAGCAAACAGTTTTGTCAGGTCCCTCTGAGTGTGCATAAGCTCAGTCAGAGAGGGAGAGAGGGAGAGGGGATCTGTTGCAGGCAGGGGAAGGCGTGACCTGAATGGAGAATGCCAGCCAATTCCAGAGACACACAGGGACCTCAGAACAAAGATAAGACATCGCTGACACCACCCCGGGGACGGGGACCAGCTCACAGACAAGTCCGGCAGACGGGACCAAGGCCAGGAGCACACCAGGCAGGAAAATGAGGTGAGTGCCAGGTCAGGGGAAGGTACCGGGTTCCCTCTCCAAGACCAAATGTAGAGCAGCCGGCTGGGTTGGGTCTGACCTTGTCTCTAAGCAGACTCACCTGCTTGCCCTCTGGGTGGCTGGGCATGGGGGATTCTCATCAATCCTCAGGGCTCTGCAAAGGGAGCCCGTCCCTGGGGCACCTTCCCAGAGACTCCGGAGACTCGCAACTTGAAACCAGAGAGTTTGTACAAAGACTGTTCCTGGCTCTGCTGAGGCTCAGATTTCTCCCTCTGCCAGCACAGGGTGCTGCCTACTGGCCAATGTGATCCTCCTCCTCTTGCCCACAAGGCTGATTCTTCATTTTCCTACTCGGCAAAGAGCAATGATTTCTTTCTCGCAACACTTTGAGAGTTAGATAATGTGTTTGTGTGTTTATTTCTTCTAAACGGAAAAGAAACCAGTTCCCCACAGCCCGGCTCATGGTTTCTTGAGCGTTCAGAAGTTTGCCAGTTAAACCTCAATTTAGAAAACTAAAAACCTGTCCCCATTTTACAGTTCCCTATAAATTCTGCATTTCTCACTGAAATCAGAGGCAGCTGGTGACATGAATCAGGCTATGAAATGCACCAAATGGCTCTTAAAGAGACACCACAGCTTTTTAAAGGAGCGTTTGGAATTCTGAAACCTACCGCTTTAAATTCTAACAGGCTTGAAGCTTTTCAATCTTTCTTGTGTCTTAGGCTGCTTGAGGCTCCTCACCAGGCATTTCTTATGAGCTTTCCCAGACTGTCTGAAACCCCAACTATCCTAATTATTTTTTTTTATCACTTTAAGTGTCAAGGCTGCTAGAAACACTCGAAGGTAGTGAGAAAAACACTCCTTAGACGTGTTAAGTCTCCTCACGCCTATTTTCCCATTCATTTTCCTTTTAAATTGGGAGTTTCTGTTTGTTTCTCTTCTTTACTCACCTATTAACCTTGCTGAGTCCAGGGCCAATAAGGGGTTTCAATCTGTGTAACTTTGAATTCCATGTACCTATGGCTCAGAGGAAGAGAAATCTCTAAAAGTGAATTTCGTCATCCTGATCTTCGTAAAGTCTTTCAACCTGCCAGAAATTTTCGTTTTCCTTTCTTCTAAAACAATGGCTTTTTTTTCCTTTGTATGATCTGCTTTATCTGTGTCTCAGCCATTCCAAAGCCTGTCCTTGCCTATGCTTAACCCTCGATTTAGAACGACCCTCCCACTCATTTCCCACCTAGAACTGACTGGGCAGGTTCAACGTTGCTTCCTCATTCCTAATCTCCACCCCCACCCCCGACATGGCACCTCTTCCTTTGTTCACATCTGTGACTGGATTTCTTGTCATCTTTGGAATGGCTGCTTATTTGAATGTCCACTTCCTCTTCCAAGAGATGTGATCAATGTCTTCATCTTTGTAGAATGTCAATAAATATAATTGAGTTGAATTCAATTACTGGGTATCAAAAAGAAGTTTTAGGAGAGCATGCTACTAGCTGTCCCTGAAGGGTCTGGACTCACCAGCATACAGCACTTCAGAGTTTGCAAGACACTTTCCTGAGCATCATCCCCTCTTGGCTTCAGATTTTGTGTGACATCAGAATTAATGGACACAGGAGATAAAAGCAGTTAAGCAACTTGTCCAGAGCCACACTGATGATCTTGAGAAGACCCAGACTCAGTCTTGTGTCTTTGGACTCCAAGTACTTTCCTGCTACGTTCTACTAGGCTCCAATCCCAGCTGCAGATTACAATGGCCTATGGTACTTAAGGAATGCCAACCCTCAGGCAATAGCACAGAATTTCATGCACAGGGTTTGGGGGGTGGGGAGGTGTTCAAACATTAGTATTTTTTTTTTAATTTCCACATAAAGCTATGGGTTTTTTAAATTATTTTTCACAGGATTAATTGCTTTGGCCAGATGCCTGGGCATGATATGGGCATGGACCCAACTTCTTCTGTGAGCTTTTGTTATTCTTCTCTGCTGTTGAAGTTAATTCGCCATATGGTATTTGGCATGATGCGCCATCTCTTAGGGTATACTTTTCATCGTCTGTCAAGCGAGGGTGGTGGGTAAGGGAGCAGCGCCATCTCTTCCAACCCTGAATCTTACACATGGAGTGCTGGTGTTGTGTACACTGAAAAGAGGAGTGAATGGAGACGCTAGGGTACTGCCATCCACTCACCCCACAATCTGACACACGCGGCTTCTTTATGCATCCCTGGTAGCCCGCTCTCCCCCACAGAGACGATGAAATCCCAGCTCTCTATATCACTTTTGACATTTCAAGCAAATGTAGCTCAACTTTTTGATCAGCTGGAGGATAGATAACAGGTGTCAGGAATTGTACAGCCGGTGCCTGGTGCCTCCAAAGCCAAAACATGAGTGTGATGAGAAATGAAAGCTGCCACGCGCATCCTTTGATTCCCAGCCCCTAAGGCAAGCAAGCAAGCATATGCTCCAGCCTCTTACATGAATGGAGAGAACTGCTTCATGTGTCCAAGTCTGCCTTGAGATGCAAAGAACAGAACACTCCACGGGCCTTTCATACACACTCATCAGCTGCCTACCACACAGCACTGGGGCCTGGGCTAAGGGGTCAATCAACTGCCAGCCCCCACAGAACTGGCCTGAGGAGGCTTTCTCCTCTGTGTGTTCTGGAAAAAAACAGACATGAATAGAAGCAACCTTTCAGCCTTGTGTAATCCAGTTGTCACTATGGCAGGGAAGGCACGGTTGGGAGCCAAAGTTTCCACTTTCAGAAAGCAGCAGCATGCTGGATCATCAGAGCAAGCCTTTACCTAGGACTGGACACTTAAAGTTCATTCATACCAGTGTTCCTGTGCAGAGCAGCCCTGTGGGAAGTCACTCCTCTTGGTGTATATGAGATGAAGTGCCACCACTTCCCTGAAGTGGGTAGGAGAAGTAAAGTCAGGGCCTGGAGTTGAATCTGTTCTTCCATGCCAGGCACAGCTGAATCTGCACTCTCAGGCCTGGTAACAAAAGGCACAGACACTAGCTTGTAATTCCAGACCCGGGGAGGCAAAGGTGGGAAGATCCCTAAGTCTCATTGGCTAGCCAGCCTAACCTAAGCAGTGAGCCCCAGGTCCCAGCGGAAGATGCTGTCTCCAAAAGCAAGGTGGACAGCTCCTGAGGTTTGTCTCCAGCCTCCACTCTCATGCACACACATATTCACACACATATGCACACACACACACACACACACACACACACACACACGCACGCACGCACGCACGCACGCACGCACGCATGCATACACATACACTTGCTCATGCATGCACATGCAGGTGCACAGAAAAAAAATATCAGAAATGAGCACAGGAAGCTGTTAGAGCAGCTAAAGAGTCATGCTGGAAATGTTTGAGTTCAAGGTCCTTGGGCCTTGCTGGGAAAGTGCTATGCTGTGACCTGACTGTTAGGACTATGACCAGCCTTAGTTACCCTGCCTCAGTATTGCATCATCCACATTTGATACTGGGTTTTCCATGTCCTGCTTTGTAACTCTCTTAGCGGTCTATTACTTTTCATTTCTCCAGGAATGAATTCTAAACTTGATTCCTATAGGGCACTCACTAAGACGTGTTTTGTTCACTCTATCTTTTTTTCTTTTTTCTTTTTTTTTTTTTTTCGGTTTTTCGAGACAGGGTTTCTCTGTGTAGTTTTGGTGCCTGTCCTGGATCTCTCTCTCTGTAGACCAGGCTGGCCTTGAACTCACAGAGATCCACCTGGCTCTGCCTCCTGAGTGCTGGGATTAAAGGCGTGTGTCACCATCGCCCGGCTGTTCACTCTATCTTCATCAAGATTATATATATATTGACTGGTACATAGCAAATAACTTCTTTCAGAATATCAAATGTGTTCAGTGTCTGTAGATTCCTCCACTGATTTTGGGGTTTATCGTAATATTAGTTATTATCACTTATATTTTTAAAACTACATAATTTGTGGTTCCTAAGTGAGGAGCAATTGAAGAAGTAATACCAATTATCACCTACTTATAATAGTTATGCTTCCAAGAGTAGGAGAACATGTGTCAGGGTCCCAAATGTACTACTTTATAGAAAACTTCAGTATGCATATCAATGTTTCAAAAGACCAAAGCTAAAAGCAGTCTGAGAAATCACCTAGTTACTTTCTCCAAACATCCTGCAGACCCAGTGAGCTAGGCCGCAAGGAGAAAAGTGGTGAGAACAGCTATTTAAACAGCTCAGCGCTGGGGACCTGCAATCATCGATGTAAGCCAAACCTCATTTGTGTCTTCCAGGTTGCTCCTTCTCTACCATGCTCTGTGCCTAGCCCTGCTGGAGGTTTCAGCCCATACCGTGGAGCTAAATGAAATGTTTGGCCAGATCCAGTCGCCTGGCTATCCAGATTCCTATCCGAGTGACTCCGAGGTGACTTGGAATATTACTGTCCCTGAGGGGTTTCGGATCAAGCTTTACTTCATGCACTTCAACTTGGAATCCTCCTATCTTTGTGAATATGACTACGTGAAGGTGAGACACCCCCCTCCCCCGCCCCGCAAGGTTCTCTGACTAGGTGTAGAGCAGACATCATTCTCACCTCATGGGGATGCATCTACTGAGGGAGCTACACAAGGAGACAGTGCAGTGAAAGGTGTAATGGAATGGGATGCCAAGTTCAAGTCTATGAGAGCCGGTGGTATGATTGGGCATTCGGCTAGACACGTCTCTTCCCCCCCCACTCTATTCTCAGTGCCTGTAATGTATCCAATAGCTTCTGATCCAACATCCCAACAAAGGGTGTAGACCTCAGAAGAAGCAGTAACCACAGAGAATCCTAATTATGTCTGACACTGAGGCATTAGAGAGCACTGACAAATTCCTTATATAATGATCACATGTTTAGGGCTGTAGATTACTGTGCAGCCATCAAAAGTAAGAGGTAAGGTGTGGATGCAAGGTTGGTGTGTGATTCTGCGGACCTTGAATATCATGTCAAAAAAGTTCATATTTTGTTAGTCAAGTGCATGGCCAGGGAAGGGAAGTGATTTTTAATGGGAAATATTAAAAAAGCAAAGGGAGAGCAGGAGAGTATCACAATACACAGACAGTATTCCCCGGAATTGCCATGGGTGGGAAGTTCTGGTTTTTAAAGTGGGGCTAAACTTGACATGCATGTCTGCAACTCCAGGACTTAGAGGCTAGGGACAGGGCAATGGTGAGGAGCTCACAACTAGCCTTTGAACAAACTCAGGTTATGCCTTCAAAAAATGAGACAAAAATTTAGTAATAATAATGTGGGTCTGAAAAGGTTCAAAATACTCTATGAGATCAAATTTATTCAGACTGTACCTACTTCAAAAGGTTCTGAAAAATCAACTTTCTTTTTTTAATGTATTTACTTATTTATTTTTATGTGTATGAGTTTTTTGCCTGCATGTATATAAGTGCACACTACATGTGTGCGATGCACACTACATGTGTGCGGTGCCCCCAGAGGCCAAAAGAGAGTACTGGATCCCCTGGAACTAGAGTTACAGGTGGTTGTGAACTACTGTGTGGGTGCTGGTCCCAGGGCTATTGGAAGAGCAGTATGGGCTATCTCTCCTGTCCCATGAAGCACCTGCTAAGTCCTCTCTGACCTCCAGGAAAAGGTTCCCACCAAATAACCCTAGAGTCAGCTTTCTACATTTTAATCACTAGTCTACCCTTATTATCCCACAGCCTGCCACTCAGCCACACTTAGCCTTGTATTAACCATGTTTGATTAACAGTAAAGTGGTGAATTTACAAGGACCCTTTATATTTATCATCTCATTCGAACTTCATCCAAGTTTTGGGAGACATGAACTCCTATCCTGTTTCACAGCAAAACAAACCCAGAAAGGTTAAGTGGTACAGGGTAATCCATCTGGAAGATGGCAGCTCAAGATCCCAGCCCATGCCAGGCAAATTTGAACCTGAAGCTTATTTGACCACACTGAACAGCTCACAAGCTGTGCTCCCCTGAGTCTCGGGGTGCAAAACATTATAAGAGGCACAGACAATGCTAAGTGGAACTGTGGACCCTTCCTGTGTCCTGGCTCATTTTACATAGAGAGCATTGCTGTGGCATCACAGTATTCCAGGTCAGGTTTCTCAGTGTCAGCATTGATGACATCTGGAGCCAGGTTTTTCAGCCATTTCTGAAAAAAAAAAGAGGTCTTCAGCACTGAAGGATATTTTTTGGGGGGAAGATTCCATGGCTTCTATTGGATGTCAGTGGCTGTTCCACCAGGTTGTCATAACCAACAATGTCTACAGGTGTTGACACCATCCCAGAACCATTGCTGTATGGGACATTACCATTGTCTGGATGCCCCACGCTATGGACAATAGGATTCAAAAATATCTGACTCCCAAGAAGAAAGATAAGCCTAGAGAACATGAGCTCTGGCCACTTCGAAGTGTACTTGAGGCCACTTGTAGAATGAGCCGCTGTCCTGAAGTCCTTGTGAATTGGACACATCTCTCCAATTCCTATAGGGAAAGGGATTCATGTGGGGGAGAGAGTTTACATGGCTGACTCTCTAGAACACCTTCTCAGCAGCAGCAGCAGCTCCCTGCAGAGGTTCTGGCAACTATGAGACAGGAGCAGCCCCTCGCACATCTGCAGGCAGCTGGCGCTCACAGAGACAAAGCCCTGTGTGCTTGTCCACACATGTGTAATAGAGTTTCCTCCCGAGAGTCAAGAGCTCACAAAAGTTAAGCTTCAGGGCCTGTAGAGGTCCACACTCTCCCATTTTACAGGATTATGCTAAATGTTACTGTGTCTTAAGTATTTCCCCCCTGATGAACACATTCTAATTACCCTTCAGTTTGGCCCAATACAGAGAAAGACAGACGTGGAACTGTTTGGATTTAGACTAGCCTTAAAGCTCCTCTACCTGCTCGTTGACCTTGATCGCCCTATAGCACTTCGAGACCCAGTGCTTGAATTTGCAGCTCCAACTGAGTTCTCATTGGCTGAAATAAGAGGCTGACATTCAGAATTCAAGGGGAACACTAACACTCTACCTGTAAACTCACAAGTCCTGAAGTCTCACACAGAGTTGAACCTGCTCTCCTTTCCCAGGTGCCTACACAACCCCAGCTCCCAGGATAGCTTCTCTGATTGACTTTTAATGAGAATCTCTCCTCTTTCCATCTGAACACAAGCACAAACTTGCCATGTGGCTCCAGGATAAGTCAACAGCACTCTCCCAAATTCTATTTGTCCACCTGTTCAATGTGGGATTGCATCGCTTTTCTTGGAGACGCATGAGCAAATGTCTACTCTCCCTGCTAGGCATCCACAACTGACCAGAGGAATAATCCTACCAAAGTCCAAGTCGGTGAACCTGTGAGTTCATTGGGGTTACTTACAGGAAGATGGATGAGGGGTCACTTACAATGAGTCAAAGGCAGCGGCACCACCCAAAACCCACCTCAGAGGGCAACAACTCATGAAAGCCACACCCTGGGACTCTATGTGACTTGCAAACTATTGGTGACAGGCTGGAGAGACTCTTGCAGGTAGCTCAGAAGGTAGGAGTTTCTCTTCTACCTAGCAAGGCCTAGTGAATCTTGTTAGTTTTAGTAACTTCCTAAACCTTGTATAATGGCTTACTTTCTGAATCTTAAGGAGTTTCCTCCAGGAGAGAATGTTGCAGCATGGAGGAAATTTATGGAACAAAAAGTGAGATGAGATGATCCCGAAAGTACCCTAAATTCTGGACTCTCCTTGCAATCTTACTTGCCAAAATTTTCCAGATGACCCCCCCAAGTCTTCATTATCCTATTTAGCCAATTCTCAAAATTCCATGGCCATTAGCACTCTAAGAAGAGCCTACACTCTCCAGGGGAATGCATTAGTGACTCACTACTTGTGTCAAATTGTAAACATAGCATACCACCACTGTTCTTTACCAAGTAACTTAAAATATCTTTAGTTTCCTTTGGCAGAATAACATCCTGGACTATTTTGAGGATTTTTTTTTTTTTTTTTTTTTTTTTTTTTTTTTTTTTTTTTTGCTCCATAGCTGAATTTTCCTTGTAGCCAAGGGGTAGGTTTAAAGGACCACCCAACTCACAGGAACCCTTTTCAGTCCAACCCACATCATGATCCCCCCCTTCTCACTCACGCCATCAGGGTGACCATGAGGGAACTGCTGACACTGAGTGTCATCAGCCCAGAGGCAAAACAGGACCTCAAAGCTGTGGGACGGATGCTCGCATTTATGGGAATTCCTCCCCAGCCTGCTTTCCCGCAGTCTTCAAGACACGTGCACATCTGCACAGCAGCATCTGCTTCCCTGGAATGTGCTGCCATTGTGGAGTCCTGCGGTGCACAGATGAGGCATATGCAGCACAGCTGGCGGGGCCAGCCCAGATGTTAGGCAGTGGAGCTGCAAGTCTCAGTTCTGCTGATCTCTCTACTACCACGCTAGCCTTAGGCGAGCGGCTTCTTCTAGAAGGAATCTCTCCTTGTCCATCTTCCCTTCCCCTGTCAAACAGGGAGTTGATTGACATGGTCTATAAGGTCCGGCTAAGCTCAGTGTTCAACAACCTTAGAAATCAAGGTCTAACTCCATCAACATCATGTCCAAAGATTGGGGAAGGACAATTCATCAGCCCATGTCAGGCCTAGAGCAGAATTTACATCTGAAAGTAGCCAATCTTGCCCGGAGTGGTGCTACCCACCTTTGATCCCACCATGCAGGAGGCAGGAGCCAGTGGATCTCTGTGACGTTGAGGCCAGACTTGTACATTCAGTTCCAGGCCAGCCAGGGTTTGAAGAGAAACCCTGTACAACAAAAATGTCTATATCTATCTTTTCTTCTTTTAGATTAATTAAGCTATAGGAGAGTCCCATCTTATGAATATCTAGATTTTAAGTTGCAATATGTACCCAATGTTGCCTGTAGTCAAATTGTTAAAACTCACTTAGAAGTCGGGCGTTGGTGGCACACGCCTTTAATCCCAGCACTCGGGAGGCAGAGGCAGGCGGATCTCTGTGAGTTTGAGGCCAGCCTGGACTACAGAGTGAGTTCCAGGAAAAGGTACAAAGCTACACAGAGAAACTCTGTCTCAAAAAAAACAAAAAAACAAAACAAAACAAAAAAAACTCTCTTAGAGTTGAATTCTATTATATAGCCGGGAAATACAGAATTTTCCCAGAAAAGGAAACAAATTCTGTTGAACTAAGCATCAGATCAAATGATTGACATATAAAGGAGTCATGAGGTGGGAGTTGTGGAAATGCAAACCTCAAGGAAGATCACAACCCCATTTCAAGTTCAGTCATGCCCTCTGCTTGTTGAAAAGAAGGCACATAGCATTTCAGTCCAGCATATCTCTCTGTCTCTCTCTCTGTGTCTGTCTCTCTGTCTCGTCTCTGTCTGTCTGTCTGTCTGTCTGTCTCTCTCTCTCTCTCTCTCTCTCTCTCTCTCTCTCTCTCTCTCTCTCCCCATTGCTCTTTCTCTCAATTCCCGCCCCCAGAGCTCAGTTGGCAC